GTGGAGGTGGTTGCTCTGAGTTGGATTGTCCTCCAGAAAACTTAACCCATGTGGTCATTAGGTCCCGTCTACTCTTCTGTTGTTTGGGAGGCAAGTGGGATTTTGGTAGGGAGAACTCTTAAGGGTCCCACTCCAGGAGCCACTTTGAATAGCCTCTCTGAGCAGAATGAGACTGATGGAACACTTCACAGATGTTTACATCTATCTCTCCCTGCGGGGAAAGCCTCGCTTCCTGTTTCTGCAGCTCTCCCCAGCAGCAGTGACAGAGTGGAGAAGACTGTAGCCCAAGACTTGTTTCTGGGTAGCACCTTGAAGAACCCGGTAAACTCAGTGTGGCTTGCAGTTTGGGGCTTAAATCCAGGGGCTCACCTGGTATCTGTCAGCAAAGTGGAATTCTAAAAATATTTTCAAGAAAGAGAAGCACCTTGATTCAGGGAGAAGGTTCGATTCATGGGTATACAAACTATGATATACAGCCTCAGTGGGCCAAGAATGTTTTTTTTTGTTTTTTTTTTCTGAGACAGGGTCCTGCCATGTAGTTCAGGCTGGTCTTGAACTCACTATGTAGCCCAGGCTGGCTTCAAACTCATGCAGATCCTCCTGCCTCAGCCTCCCACGTGCTGGAATTACAGGCATCTCCCACCACACCCAGATGATTTTTACATTTTCAAGGCATCAAAAAAAAAAAAAAATAATAATATGCAACAGAGTCCACACAAACCCTCAGATAATTACAAGTACTGACTGGCACTTCATAGATGTTTGCTGCCCCTGGTTTTATTTAACAACACAGGCCTACCCATGGGCCTACAGCAAGAAATAAGCCAAATTTGAAAGCCTCCTGTGTCTCACTGACACCTCAGACCAAACTGTCCCCTCCTCCCACCCCAGGCCTTGCCATCCTGCCTCTCCTGTGCAGGATGAGTAGTTAGGTATGTAGGGAACATAGAGGCTTCCCCACATTTCCATCGTGCCCTCAGCTGGGTCAGACAGATTAGTGAAACCAGAAAGGCTTCAGGGCTGACCAAGTTCAGCAAACAGATGAATGAGTCACCATCTTTCACTGGCCAGAACTGGGTCCCCAAAGCAGCTGTTGGAGCGTACACTCAGGCAGAGTCTGCAGGATGACTAGTTCCTACGTCAACTAGTGTGGAGAGCTTTGGCAAACAACTTCTCCAAGAACTTTTCCTCCCTAAGATGATTTTTTAAAAATATGTTACTTTATTTTAAAAGAATCTGTTCTCCCACTAGTGGCAAGTGAAATCACCTTACAAGGGGATTATCCACTTACTTCTGAAACCCTGTAGGGTTGCTCCCTTACTCTTCAGCCAGCAAAAGTATTTCTTTTTTCTCAAAAAACTGTCAAGTTCAGTTATGCTTTGCCAAGTTAAATTTCATGCGGATCAATTTGGGTGTCAAAATAATCTTTTAAATTTGGTGATGAGAGGCTTGTGTTGGTTTTTTAAACACATCTATGTAGGAAAGCGCTATATTTTTGAAAACTGTAATTTTGAAAGCCATAATTTTTCTTGTCCAGGTAAGGAGTAGAGGTGAGGAAAAGATTATAAATATAAATTGGTCTTTGGCAAACTTATCCATTCTTTTTTAGAAGCACAGCTAATATATCAATCATCATCTAAGCAGACCAGGGCTCTGGTCCCCCTCATCAGAGCAAGTAAAGCATTCTTGATTTATTGATGGTTTACCCCTTGATCTGAAGGAAAGGATGAAGGTTGTTCTTGGAGACCCAGACCTGCTGCCTATAAACATATGGTAAATTTAAAGCGTCACATTAGTGCCATGGCGCACACCTGTAATCCCAGCACTCAGAAGGCTGAGGCAGGAGGATCGTTGTGAGTTCAAGGCCAGCCTGGAGTACAAAGCGAGCTCAAGGCCAGCCTGAACTGCAGAGTGCGACCCTGTCTCAAAAAGACAAAAAAAGAAAGTGTCACATTAGCAAGGTAAAAGCATTCTGCTAGGTTAGGGCCACCCTGGCAATGACAGATGTATGCTAGTAATCAGAAAAAAAGTTTGTTCCCTAAGATATGTCACAGCTCGCCTGGCGCTTTGTCTGTAACCTTATCTGACAAGGAAAATTCAGAATGTAAATGGCACAAAAAAGAGGCAGGCAGAGAATGCACAGATTGATGCTGTGCAAGTTATTGATTTCGGTGACTGCCATTCTCAGTGAATGCCTTCATTGAATTAAGGAAAGAGGAACATTTTCTAATCAGCCTGATATCCTGTGTGTTGGGTTTCTTTTCATCCTTCTACCTGGCTTGATTCATATGATATGCCAGTCGTTAGACTGAAGTTGGTTACAGCTTTGTCTTGCTTTGAAACAGGTCTTTTGCCAGGTTTTGTTAAGCATAAGTGGAAAACTGGTCACAAAGAAAAAAGGCCAGGCTGCCCTGTGACTGAAGTCTTGACAGTGCCAATTTCCATTTCTTTCTCTCAGAGCTCTTTCAGAGATCTCTAGCAAAGTCCCTGGTTGCACAAACTTCCTACGAGAAGTTTCTTTCTCTGTACCTTCCCTGCCTCCTTGTTCTTTGTGCAAGGATTAGTGTTTATATTGTTTGATCAATCTTACATGCCTGTATCTGGTAATCTGAGCAACTACTTTGAAGATAACAATATGCAATATAATAACCATTGTTAATTTCCTGTCATCTTGTTTTGAAATTCTGTATTGTTTTTATTGTTGGTTTTTTTTTTGTTTTTTTTTTTACTTTTGCCTTTAAAAAATAAAAATGAAACAAAGAACCCTGCCTGTGAACAGCTCCTGCTGGGTATCAGGTCTTCTCCACCATGCCCTGTTGCCACCATGGAGAGTAGCTTGATAAGAGTGGGAGTCGATCCTGTTCTCCACCATGCCCAGTATCTAAACAGGGTGCTGCACAGTCTATGCCTGAGGCTACTCCTGCTTTACCCACTCTCTGAAGCTCAAAAGCAATCCAATCAGTTCTGAAGCCCTCCTGCTGTATAGCCCAAAGGATGCCACAAAGGAAGCCACAGAATGGAGCTGAGGTTAAATAGAATAAACCTTCATGGTAACACTGTACTTCTGTATCCTGTCTCAGGCCCCACAGCTGTGAAATCCCTGCTCCCCAGGACCGTTTCTCCCAGACAGGAACAAATACTGCATCACTTAGTTAAGGATCATATGAGGTAATTTTGCCAAGGTAACTGAAGGGAAGGGAATTGCTTTTTGTTAGCTAGAAATTCTTGGCGCCAGACTTCATCTAATTCTGCTAGTTGGCTGGCCACCTGGCAGGACTCCCTGAAACAAATAAACCCATGAGGGCAACCATTTCACCTTTGGCAAGACAGTGGGGTAGATCGGAAACTTGATGACATTTGGACAGCATGGTCCAGGTTCACTTGTCTTGGTCCCACCCTCCAGGTTCCTGCTGACTATAAAATCCAAATGAAGGTCATTGATTTATTCCTATATATAACCACTTATTTTGTTGTTATCTATTCTGCTATTGAATATGAGCCCACCCTGCATGCAAACATATAAATATGCACTTATGTTTTAGCACATGCATCATATATAAATGGAAGATAGACAATAGATAGATAGAATATATAATTTGAGTTAAGTTACTATGTACATCAGTTCTCTCCTCCATACACTTGCTGTGTTCCCTGAGCTACAAAGGAATCCATCTGGAGTGACACTGCCCAGTGCAGACCTCAGGTCCACTGGGAATCACAAGGTCACCTTGTTTCCATTTGGTGGTCCAGTCCCAACTCTGACCTTGGCCCCTCTGTGAATCTGGTGTCTTTCCAACCAAATGGCTCAGCCTCTACCATCCTGACCAGGGAACTTCTTTCATAAAATAGCTGGTCTACCCACCTTTTGACACTGTAATTTTTGTTTTATAATTTAGTGCCTTAATAATAGCTTGCAAATACTGTACTGTGAAACTGTACAGCTCATCTTTGGTGATTGGGGACTTCATCCTGTCCACAGTAGTTGGTATGTATTAGGACTTGAGTTTATCCTTCTCCAGACTTGTGTTGATTCTGCTACGCAGTTTGACGTTGTATGTTCATGACTACTTCAAGGAGTCTGGAGACATACATAGCACTGGCTGTTCCCGCAGGTGAGGGCCCCACTGACCCATGCTGCATCCCAATAAAAGACTGAAATTTGGTTTGCCAGCTGGGGTGGGTGGTTGGTGGTGCAAGCCCTTCGGCCTCTGAACCATAGCTGTGCACTCACCTATTCCTCACCACATTTGTACTCTTATTTAACAGAGGTATATCGTCGACCACGCTACTCTATTTTTCCTCCCTGTTAGTGTCCTGAGCTCTTTTGCAACAAAATGTAGGTATACATCACCCCCCACCCCAACTAGGAACTCTACCAGACAGGTTACTGTGGTTTTTTAGAAGTTGCAGGTGGATTCACGTATGTTGCGTTACAATGTCAATGATTTCTTAAATTTTTTTTTTGTTTTTTATGTTATATATTTAAAAGATGGCATCTTTTGTAGTATAAATTTGCAGAAGATGCATAATGCACCTTTTTAAAAACTGTTGGTGTGTTTTGTACGTAGTCTGTGTTCTTGTGATGAAAATAAACTTTTTCTTTGTAAAAAACAAAAACAGGCTAAGACAAGTTAGGTACGCAATATGCAGCAACTACAGAAGTGAGCTTGTAAACACCCCCAGCAATAAGAGAGAACTGCCAACAAAGAGATTTGTCTCTAATCACCTGCTTTCTGCTATTCCCAGTCAGGCATCTGGGCCCTCAGAGAGCACGGGCGACATCTCTCTACGCGGGATTACAGAGCCAGGGCAATGCTGGGCACTCCGACTCCCACTCTTATCAAGCTACTCCAGCTGAATCATTCACCGAGCTTGCACGTTTGAACTACCGTTTCCCAGCTCGCAGAGCCTGCGCTCTCAGCGCACCAGATTGCCTGTTGTTAACGTCACTTCCGGCGGCGGGGGGGGGGTGTGTGTGCCAACGACCAATGAGCTTTGCATGGAGGCGGGCTGTAACCTCCCAGGCTCCTCCTCTGCCGGATGCTTTTGAACCTCCCGGAAAGACCCTAGTGACACCCGCGGCGCTTGCAGGGTTCATGGCAGCCTCCGGGAAGCTCAGCGCTCTTCGTCTCCCGCCGTTGCCCACCATTCGAGAAATCATTAAGTTGTTCAGACTGCAAGCAGTGAAGCAGCTGTCCCAGAATTTTCTCCTGGACTTGAGGCTGACAGGTGGATGTGTCGTCAGTGCGCCCCAGTTCTCCCCGGGCGTCCCAGGGGGCGTGGGCCGGGGTCTCGCGCGGACCCGGCGGGCAGGTTTTCAGGACCAGGCGTAGCGTGCAGCGGGCGTTTGGTCAGGTTCTTCCTTTTCTTACCGGAGGCGCTGCCTCCCCGACACGTGCAAGGCATTACTTGCTCGCGAGCCGCAGCGCTCAGGGGCGGGGCGCCGTGGGCCCGCCCAGCCCCGCGCGGTGAGCCAGGCCCGCGGCGCGGAGCGGATCCGGGTCTGCAGAGGCGCCTGTGAGCACGCGAGCGCAAGCCGTGAAATCAGACCCTGAAAAGGGACTACTGTGGCTTTTCGCGCATTTTAAAGTTACAGAATTTAAATCAGTGCAAAGATTTCGTTGATACCTTATTTCGAAAGGGTATCCTTCATAGGACTCATTATTTTTTTTTTTCGGTAGTGGGAATCGAACTCACGACCTTGCGCTTGCTGGGCAGGCGCTGTGCCACTGAGCTAAGTCCCCAGCCCCAGGACTCATTATTTAAACGTTCACTTTTTAAGTCAAAGAAATCCTCAAAGGTGCAGATATTCGGGAAATACATATTGTGAAACCTGCTATGTGCAAATGCCGGTGATACCATAAGGAAGGGAGCAAGGCAGCCTGTCCTGGAGGGGTTTACATAATAGTTTACATTCTCATACCTTTCTTTTCAGTCACTTTTTTTGAGGTAAAATTTACGTATGGTGAAATGCAAGTTTGAGGTGCTTGATTTAGTGAGTTTTGATCAATGTATACCTTGGCTTAACTGTTCCCATTTCTTAGTCATCGTTCTTGTAAAAGGTGAGATTGCAAGAATAAAATCGCTTACAAATGTGTGTATTAATTCACTACAAGGAGGACTTAGGTTTTGAGATTTTGGTATTTCATTCTACTTGGCTCTTCTTCAAAAATTAGCCAAAAAGTTATTTTCGTGAAATGATACACAGTCCACAAAAAATATGTGTTTTATGACTTGAACACTGAGGTATGCTCAAAAAATATGACTGTTTAAATTTTCTTTAAAAAAAAAAAAACCATTACAGTAAAGGACACATTCTCATTCATCCTCCTCACCCCGCTTTCTTTGAACATATATCATTCTTTCAACTTTATGGAGCAGTTCTAGAAGTCCTCTGATGAAAATTTGTAGTTGCAATGTCCTGCCTACCTCAATGCTTGAGTCGATTCAGAACATTTACCTTTTAATGTGGGGCTAGGGGCTGGGGATTTAGCTCAGCGGCACAGTGCCTGCCTGGCAAGCGCAAGGTCGTGAGTTTGATTCCCGGTACCGGAAAACAAACAAACAAACAAAAAATACCTTTTAATGTCACTTTGACTTTGGAGAAGAGCCAGAAGTCTCCGGGTCTGAATCCAGTGAAAAAGGTGGATGAGAACACACTGTAATGTTTGGAGTAATTGTGACATACGGTGAATAAACATTTAAAATTTTACAGTAAGACACATTGTCATTAATCGCCTCTCAGAATGCTCAAAATACTGCCCCTTGCTTCAAACACATTGCTTTTGCCAATGTGTCCTTTACTGCAATTTTTTAGAAAATTGGAACATTCCGAATATCTTTTGATCACCTCTTGTACAGGCTTTATTCTGCCTGTAGCAATTTTAGTTTGGATAAAACAGCTTAAGTTTTCTCATCTTTTAATTGAGAGAGGGGCCTACTGTGAGGGCTTTTAAAAGACTGCCGACTTCTAAAATTCTTTGGTTCCAGTAACTAGTACCAGCCCTTTCTACTAGTGATTAGCTGCATTTTAAATATAAAGTATTCTCTGGGGTGAAAATACATTTTAAAAATTTCTGCCTTTATATTTTCTCATGTCTTTACTCCTGTGTAAGTTCCACATTCTAGATAGTATAATCCACTTTTCCGGTGGAAAACATAGTGAAAGGGAGGTTAAGGTAATTGTCATAGAGTGAAGGTCAGGTGGGATCAGAGCAAGACTGATACTCAAGGGGCTGAGAATATAGCTCAGTGGCATAAGCGCCTGCCTGGCAAGCGCAAGGTCGTGAGTTCGATTCTCGGTACTGAAAAAAAAAAAGAAAAAGAAAAAGATACTCAAGCTTAGTGATTTGGCCTTGCATTTGATGTTCATCAGTATTTCAGTATATTGAGAAGTGTGAAGGTGGAACCACTGTCTGTGTACTCATAGCTTCCCATCTTTAAAAATGAGAATATTCACTCTGTAATGCCTGGGCTTAATTAATCATTCTTGTTTCCTGTGGCTCCTTGTTTCCTTGGCTCTAAGGTAGCAAAGATTGGCTCTGAATGTAAAGTTTGAGTTCTTTCTCTGCTGTTTGCTTTCTGTATGATCTTGCACAAATAAAACAATAGACAAGGAAAAATTGGAATAGTTCTTAGTTAATGTGTTGTAAGAATTAGGTGAGAGAATCCTAACACAGCGATAGTTAGTGGATGTTAATTCCTTTCCTATACCTGTTAAATTTCAAAACTCTTTGTGATTAAAAGATTGTCTTTGCCTTTAAGTTTATACGAGCAGATTATCAATAACAAGCCAAGCTGACATTATATGGTGTTAATAAACACTGCCAAGAAATGCTGGTATGTTTTTAGGAGCTAAAATTCCACTATCCTTTGAAGCTCACATGCTCGGATTTTAATATCTTATAGTCAGTAAGACCAGCCCATAGTATGTTTTTCTACAAGTGTGATTAGTTGGAGTGAATCATCAGTACTCTGCTTTTCTATGACTTTAGGTCTGCTATCTTAAATTGACTCATTGAAGACTTAATGTGCATTAATGTGCATGTTTGCCATCTTTTTAATACCAGTACTAAATTTAACTATTTTCTGGAAATGACCAAGAATTTAAATTTCTCAGTGTTATCACCTAGGAATTTGTTGCTAGTGCCATACTTAACACAAAATAGATGTCTACAGATAAAATTGAAGACTGCTCTTATTGCTTTGGAATTATTAATTAGCAATATTGAAGATTCTTAATATGTAAGTAGTCTTGTTTAGTCAAATACTTGAGTGAGTTACTGTTCTATAACTTAGAGAAGTATTGTTACATGCTTAGCTAGCCAAGTCTCAGTAATTGATTGTTTTGGTGGAAGAACAGAGAGAAAATTCAGTTTAGATGAATTTAAGGAAATTTGCCAAAATTATTTCACTTTTGTTAACTGGGAAAATTAAACAGTGATGTGATAGAATATAAATAACCGTTAAATGCTGGTTTATGTTGAGAGTTAAGTAACTAAATAAATACTATATATAAAGGATTTGTTGATTGGGCAGCAACTGATAAGAATTTGTTGTAGATTATTTTCTGTTTAAAATTTCATGCATTGAAGTTTGCAGAGATCATCAACAAGCCTAAAACTTTCTTTTCTCTAGATAAAATTGTAAGGAAAGCTGGAAATCTGACAAATGCCTATGTTTATGAAGTGGGCCCTGGGCCGGGAGGAATCACAAGATCCATTCTCAATGCCAATGTTGCAGAACTGCTGGTTGTTGAAAAGGACACTCGGTTTATTCCTGGGTTACAGGTGAGGTACTTACAGTGTCTTTTTTAGGAAACAAAAACCCATTTTGAATCTTAGACTATGATTCTTTTTTTGATACCGGGAATCAAACTCAGGACCTTATGCTTGCCAGGCAGGCACTGTGCCCCTGAACTATATCCCCAGCTAGACCACACTTCTTAAGCCCAGGAGTAATCAAAGATTAATTCTCCAACTGTGGATCTCTAGGCACCATCCAGAGAGTTTCATCCTGTGGTCTAGAGAGGTATAGAAATCTACATTTCTAACAAGCATCTCCAGATGGTTATTGCGTACAGCTTGAATAAACCTGCTTTATATACTAATGTTAAACCATCTGTTTTCTATGATCTCTATCTCTGTTTTGTAACTTTTGAGGGAGGATCTATTTGCTGTGCATATTGTAACCTTTTCCTTTAGTAAAAATGACTAGTATGATTTGTTAGCATGACTTTTGAGGACTTCATTTAGATTCAGGAAAGCTTTTTCACAAGCAAGAGTTGAAGTTATATGCTACCTGTTCATCAAGAAAGACTAAAAGTTCATGCATTGTAAGTGAAGGAATGACGTATCACTATGTTTATAGATTTAGGATGAGATTTGAATGAAATGGTATGTGCATCTTTAAAAACAGGTACTGTTCTCAATATTATTGAAATATTGAAGGGACTGGACATATTTCCACGGAGTAGAGAAACCTTGAGTAAGGGTCTTCGTAGATGCTTATCAGAAGTTGGCAGTAGAGAGGATAAGCTGTTTTTGATCTTTCCTAGAAACAACTAAAGCAAATAGGTGGGAATTGAGGGAGGCAGTTTGAGGATTTGAAATAAGGAAGGACTTAAGTTTTTAAAATACTGTCAAACAGTGGGATACATTACTCCAGGGATCCTCTAAAGGGAATTCCTCATGGGAGCACTTAATGATTTAAGGGCCTTTGTTTGAGTCCTGTATAATTCTATAACTTTAAAATAGCCCTGAACCTTTGGTTCAGATGACTGGCAATTTATTATGTGACTATAATAGAAAAATAAAATTATCCACATTCTACTTTATACAAAAGGACAAATTGGTTTAAAATTAATACATTCTAATATTTGTGAATGTGTTAATGGAAAAATGTTTAGCTTCTGTTTGAACAGTTTGAGAAAATTGGTTTTAAAATCTAGGACTTTGTGTGCATACATCTTATTTTTTGAGAAACGGAGTGATTTTTTTCTCATCTAGTGTTTATGCTTCGCAGAATTACATAATATTTAATTGTATCTAATTCTGATAGAATTCATTTCAGATTTGTAACTTTATTTTGGGGTTATCACATGGAATGTGTTCCTTCATCAGATATGAAATTTAGTAGTAATTTTTGTTTTGATCCTTATTATTTTAAGAACTGTGTTCCATTCACATGTGGAAGTGAGACTGTTATTTTTGGTAAGGTCATGAGATGATTAGAAAAACCTGAATAATGTTGCGTGATTCTCTTCAGGGTTATTCTTCTGACCATTTCTGGACATAGAGAGTACTCAGCTGATGTTTTGTGCCCATACAGACTTTTTAATTCTCAAATCTCCCCATCTGGTACATGTTCGTTGTTTTTGTTGTTGTCTTTGGTGATGTTTGTTTTGATAATGGTGGTACTGGGAATTGAGCCTAGGGCCTTTGGACTGAGGCACATCTGCATCCCTTTTTAAATTTTGAGACAGAGTCTTGCATCACCAAGTTGCCTAGGCTAGGCTCAAAGTTGTGATTCATCTGCTCCAGCCTCCCAGACTGTTGGAATTACTTGCATGCACCATCGTGCCTGGCTTGTTTGCATTTTGCTTTATTAGACATGATAATAAAATGAATTTCTGCTTATTGCTTTAATATGCATGTTCCTTATCATTTGACCTAACGATCTTCAAAGAAACTGTTTAAAAGAGCACTTGCCACCCATCTCTTCTCAGTCATCCCTGTCATCCAAGCCGCTGCCTCCTAACCCTCTGCCTTGTTTTACCTCATTTGAGATCATCATTAGATACACTGTATATATGTTCTTCTCATTTGTGTGTTTTCAGATTCACCCTTCTAGAATATAAATACTATGAGGGTACAAATTTGCATCTGTTTTATTCCCTGCTGTATTTTCTGTACATACAACAGTACCTACCCTAGATCAAATAGTCAGTAATGTCTCACGTGAGAAATAAGGTTGACTGTCTCTGTAATTGTGTATATCTGTGTATTAGCTGACTCAGTAAATAGCGTTGGTTATCAAAGTTTTATGCTCTTTCTAAGTATCAAGGCTAATTTCAAGATAAATTAGTCTACACACAATGTGTGTTTGATTTCTCATCCGTTTCAAAAGAAGCAAAATTAATTCCTTCTGTCTTCTGTGTAGGAATGAACTCACCTTAAAAAGAAATATTGAGTACTAAATTATCAAATAGGCTTCTTTTTCCTGTAAAGAATGTTTCAATATGTAAAACCACTTTCTATTAGAAGTCCTAAATTAATCATAAAACTGAGCAAAGACAGAAGGAGAGTGATCTGTCTTAAGGATTTCATTTTAGTGATTTCTAAGCTAATAGAATTACTTTTTAAAGAAAGTAATAATTTATAAAATGTCTTCTAGCTAAAAGTATGTCATTTGTACCTTCACTCAGTTCTTAGGCTGTAATCACCTGGCAGCTCAGAGGAAAGAAAAACTGGTGTTAATAGAGAGGCTTCATTCTCCATGTGTTGTAAAGGCAAGAAAACTTGCCTGACAAGCAAGGCAGTGTAGTGTATAATTTTATGGTGAAGAACATGGACTTCACCATCAGACTGCATGGGTTGACTTAGGCTGTACTACCAGTTCTGTGACTTTAGCGGGAAGTCACATCTGTCTGTGCCTCAGTTTACTCACAAAGATTATGTGAATGCCTTACACATAGTAAGCAGTCAATAAATCTTAATAAATAATCAAATTGTTGTCCCCATCCCTTGGGCACCTCTGGGGATTAAAGATGATCAGGAGACTACAATCTAGCATGAGGTATAAGAGGAAATAAATGTTACTCCTTTGGTGCCCTGGAAAATCCCCTGTACTGTGGACACATTAAGGCTTTCTCCAGCTTATCCAACTCCCATTAGACACTGAGGGCTTCTTTGTCTTGATGTTGTAACATTTTGATTTTGCATTCTTTGGTTGTTATTTTCTTACAGTTTTATGGTTGAGTAGATTATTGATGCCTTGGAGGGGAATAAGATTTTCCTGATATCACAGGGAGTTTAAACCTTTGTGGGTTCTTCCCCATTTCTGAACTGGAGCAAATTTCATAAATTATTGTCTTTTTTAGACAAGTATTCCAGATTCTTCTTCATTTTTTTCTCTGTTTTAAATCTGAGTATAACAATAATAACTGATATTTATGGAGTACTTAACCAAGCTGTATTTTACAGCTTTATTGAGATATAATTGAAGCTCAGTAAACTGCACATATTGGAACATTCTTTTTTTTTTTTTCCAGTACCAGGAATCGAACTCATGACCTCGCGCTTGCCAGGCAGGCACTGTGCTGCTAAGCTAAATCCCCAGCCCACATATTGGAACATTCAGATTACTGTTTTAACATATTTATAGTCATAAGAAATCATCACTACAATCAAAATAATGAACACCATCATCAGACTTACTTACGTTCCTTTGTAATCTATCCTTTCCTTTTCCCTTTACCTATCCCAAGGGAATTACTGATCTGCTTTCTGGCTGAAAGATTATTTCCAGTTTTTAGAATTTTATACAAATGGAATTCTTCAGTATGTACTTTTTTAACTAAAGAACTAGGAGTAAAATATCTGCATTCTGTGGTAGTTATGTGGTAAACATTTACAAAAAAACAAATTTTTATAAGGTGACAATACCATCTTACCTTTCCACCTGTGCATGGGAGTTGTAGCTATTCTTCATGCTTGCTCAAGTTTTGATGTAGTCAGTCTTTTTCATTGTAGCTATCTAAAATTAAAGGTAAGTGGTACTATCTCATTGTATAACTTCTTGGCTAATTTATTACAGTATTTTGATGGTTGAAGGTTTATAGTCATAGTTATCTTTTGTGGATAGTACAAGAGCAGATAGAAATTGATTTAAAGAGCCCGATGGCCAATAGCCAGTAGATGATTGCTATTTTAATTATTGTCTTTCCTGTCATTTTATAAAGGGGCATATAAAGCAATTTAGAGGTTCTGCAGAAATCACTTGTGGTTAATGGGGACTATCAGCTTGTCTGGCCTCGGGATCTTCTTTGATTGGTGGAGCACACTTTGGGAGTGTCTCAGTGGGTCGTGAAGGTATATCGCTGGTCTGTCGGGTCCTTGCCCTTTATTCTCTGGCACTGTTCTGCTCTGCTTCCCAGCTGCCATGAACTGAGCAGCTTTTTTCCATCATGACTTCTGTGTCTTTCTACTGTGATACTCTGCCTTTGAGCAAGGCAACTATTGACTGAATCCCTCACAACTGAGACAAATTAAACCTTTCCTTTAAGTTATAGATGTTAGGCACTGTGTCTCAGTGATGGTAAAACTGACTAACACAGTGCTGTTTGGAAAATTCCCTGACTCTCTGTCATGACATATTGCCTACTTAAAACATGTAACTTACTTGATAAGACCGTAGTTAATCATAACATGGAGACAGAATTCCACAAGGGGGCAAAAGGTAGCTTATAGCCAAAGTAATTTCTTATACCACTATGAATTATAAGTGCAAAGCGCAGTGCTAGAGACAGACCCATTGGCAGCAACAAAAAGTAACAGTTACTGTGGTGTCAGAAAAGCTATGAAAACCAAATGTAAAACCACGAAAATATTTTGGCTTTATTAGTAAGGGATTATCCATACCTCCTTAACCATTAAGGCTATTGCTCTAAAGGCCCAGTGACCCCAAGCGTTCAATAGGAAAGAGAATTTGGGTCCAATATCTTTAATTTAAGGAAAGTGTATAATAAAGTTTCAAAATATCTCCTTTCGTAAATTTGTTCTTAAGGAATGTTAATACATAAAGGAATAAACATTGAATTAAAAATTTACTAAAGCAGACATCTGATTCCTTCATGATGCCAAGTACTATAGATGAGTTTCTACTACATATGTTCTAAAGCAAGCAAGCCATCTTTGCAATTATGCTGTCATTTCCCTTAAAAAGTCTGTTGTGACACTGTCTTAAATTCCTTTGCAATAGTAGCCTTCGTCTTTTTTGTGTATGCTTTGAAAGAATAAAAATTGTATTTTTCATCTATTATATTCCATATTATGGGTTTTTATATTGTTTGCTTTACAGTTTTGCCTAGCACTTCTGCCCAAGGTGTTGGCTGCCATGAGCCCCTTACTGTGAGACGGTGGTATAAAATATATAAAATAGATATTTCATGTAGTTATTTGTTCTCAGAAATTTTGCCTGAATTCTAAGAATTGCATACATTATTTTCTCACCAAATTAAATCACCACAAAGCTACCTAGGTACACCACAGTTACTTGACCCCTGCAGGAAAGCTTTCTGAGGAATGTTTTTATTTAATAACCTTTGAAAGAATGTGCTTGTGTTTGTTTTCTGACTTTTATGAAAGACATCTCCATTATATTGTTTCATGTTTTTATAAAACCTAATTCCAGAAAAAAATTTCTCTCTTGAAAACTTAATATAATTACTTCATGTAGAGAGTGAGAGTTGTGTGTTTTCTTGTGCAAACCATGAGAGCTAATGATTCTAACGATGAGATTATTAGTGCTCATGTTTTATATATATACTTATCCTTTTAATGGTATGGTTTTCTATTTTCTGTTTCTTTTATATTCTTGGTGCCTTTTACTCAGTGTGTCTTAAATCTCATTTTGGAAGAGTATAAAATTAAAAAGTAAAAATGATAGAGCAGTTTGAGAGTATCTGTTGAAGTGCTCATTTGACTGTAATCAAGTGCCTGCTGCACTCATGGTCGTAGTGGGCAGTGCCTTTAAATTCATAATGTGGTCATTCCACCCAGGTTTTGAAGTGTAAGGCTCCAGAGTTGTTCTTGAAGGTCTGTAATAGTGATCGCTCCCACTCCTCCACCATCCCCAGATAGTATCATCATGGTGAAAACATTTTTCTCAATTACTGGTTGGTTAGAAAGTCTGTTTGTGTCATTGCTGAGTATCATTTTAGGTGTTTCAAAGGCTGTTATCTGTAATCAGATCAGTTCAGTCTATGTAGCACTTTTCTCCCATAATTGCTTCAAGGCCTTCACATAGTCAGTGAACACCAGCATTCATTCCTGCTATAGTGGGGGGATCTGAAAGCAAAACTGAAGCTACCAAGTTGGCAAGGAGGAGACAGACCTTATGTAGGATGGATTTGGTTTCTCATTGGCTGAGATTTGAACCTAAATGGGAACCCTAAAGAAATACACATTCAACTTTAAATCTAGGTACATACAGATTCATGCCAAAGAGTTAAATTTACATTGTTTTGTTTCAGTCCTAACTACTTAATTACTTGTCTGTATTGACATCACGTAATATAAGCTTTTAGTTCAGCCTTTTTGTTTTGGGTATGCCAATTAGTTTTAATTATGTGAACCATAATTATACAAATATTTTAGCCTTATCGCTTGGTAAGTGTTACCATTAAATATTCTTATACAGTAAGAACATATGCCATAGAGACCTATTTCCTTTTTAATGTTTAGTATATTGTGTTGTGTAAGATTTATTTGGAGCTCATCAGGGTTTTAACAAATCATAGTAATTTTAAAATAATCCCAAAGTATATTTACATCAGAGTTAGTTATTTTTGCTAACCTACTGTGGCTAACCATGTCAAACTGGATGATCCCAAACAATATATTTATCTTCCTGCTATTATAAGCATTTTAGCTCTTAACTGTGCCTCATTATAAAATAAATCTTTGCAAATTTCTTGACCCCCAAAATTTGAGCCACCTTTCAGAGAGCTAAGTGTCATTTGGTCATTCACTTATTTGTTCCTGTATTAGTTAGTGTTCACACAAGGAGCAGATTTAATGTAAGATAGATAGATCAATCGATCGATCATGCATATAAAAATTTACTAGGTGGACTTACTGTGGCCACATGAAAAGTCAAGTGTGGAAGAGTGCAAAAAGCTGTCCACTGGAGATCTGAAGGATCCAGTCAGAACTGGAAGGCCTGCTGCTCACTGCAAAATCCCAGGAGAGTCTGTATCAGAAGCTCAGGGGACTGTGCTGAAAGGCTGAAGAGTACACTGGAAGCCTGGAGATGGACATCCACAGGCAATAGTAAAGACTGGAGCTCCTCTTTAAAAACAGAAGTGAGACTTCCTTCTTTTCCTTTTTATTCCATCCAGGCTACAAGCCTTTTGGTTGGTGCCACTCACACCCAGGATGAGTTCCCTCTTCATTAAATCCATTATGCAGACACACCCAGAACAATGCTAAACAAATCAACTGGACATGTCTTTTCAAGTTCACACCACAGTTAACTATCACAATTCCCTTGTAAATAGGTATTAAACACCTACTTTGTGCAGGTGCTATTCAGGTAGATGGGAAATAGATGCTGCCCTTAAGCAGCACGCACTGTTGCAGGGGAAGAAACCTCTACATATGTGACTGATACAGTGTGTTGTGCCATCAGGAATCATGGACAGTGCTCAGGGTGGACACAAAGGTAGAAGTATTCAGCAATCTGTGTACATTGCTCTGGAGTCTCCCCTCTGACTTCTGTGATGCCTTGTATTCTTCCTGTAAGTTGCCTGAAATAGGTATGGGGGAGAGTGGGAGGAGAAAAAATGAGCTTTTATGGAGCTGTAGAACTAGGACCAGGGATGCCCATGGTAGAGTTTCATTTGAGCTTGAGCTCCTCCATTGTCTTTTTATACCCGTAGAGATATTCCAGAGTCTGTCTTGGCAACTAAGTATTAGCCCAGGTTCTCTGAGCTCACGTGAGACACACTGGGAAGAGGGCTACTCTTCCCTTGCAATCCACTTGAGCAGTCACGGTTTTTCTCATTATGTCCACTTCTGCAGTACAAGCTCAGTGAAGCATGTTTTCTATTTTACCAAGGACTTCAAGAATCAACTTGTGTATTGGGTGAGGGGCACACAACACAATACACATTTCTAGTTGGCAGAGCCATAATGCTCTTTTAAACTAGGTGCCAACGTTCTAGTACATGCTGTGAGAGTATGGTGCTACAGCAAATGAAGTGAAGAAGAAAAATATTAAGATTACAAAGGAATCTTAATTTCATGTTGCTTTTCTCAGAAGAACTAAGAAAAAGGAAAGAAAGCAAATAATTGAAAGGTAGAAATAGATTCAGAGATGCTATTGTTGAAAACATGCAGCATAACCCATTAGGTTGATAGCGCCTGTGGATTAGGCATGCTCTGTTCAGGGCAGTGGCTCAGAAAGCCAGGTGGGGCCTGGCATTGACAAGGGACAATCTGCTTAGCTTGACTCTATCTGTATATTAAGTTAAAGGTCTTAGTAATGTGTAGAATCATTTGTATGTATGTAGGCTATGAGATTTAGTTAAGTTCGTTTTTCATATGGCTTATTCCTATTTCCTTAGTATCTCATTAAAGTGGCCTTAGTCTGTAATTTAAAAACTTACAGATAGGAGTGGAGTTTCTGCTATACTCTACAGAAATAGAAGCCATTCTGAGGACGAAAGGTACACTAATGTATTTTTGTGAAACTCTGAACTGTTGTACTATTGTCTGTTATATCCCTAACCTCTCAAATGTGTCAGAGGGAACATAAACATCTGTTGCAGTGGACACAATATTTTTAGTTCATCAGTGACCACTTTTTCTGACTGATGTAATGATACATAGTATTTTAAATTGTAGTTTTGTTACTCTCTGAAGTGTGTGCGCTCATTTTATTGACCTTTTTGTAAACTAGATGCTTTCTGATGCAGCACCTGGAAAACTGAAAATTGTTCATGGAGATGTGTTGACATTTAAGGTGGAAAAATCTTTTCCAGGAAGTCTTAAAAGACCTTGGGAGGATGGTAAGTACCTTTGAGTACTTATTTTGTTTTTAAAGTCCTTTTCTCATTATTTATAGCACAAATATTTATTTTATTCATTATAGATTTATTATAAGTATTTATTATATATGAAAAAAGTATCTGAGCAGTTAAATAATGTATACTGTAATTTTTTTTAACTTTTCCAGTTCCAGAATTTAAAATCCAGTACTTTTTCTTAATTTTTCATCATGCGTTTTCCGATGTTTCCGATTCTATGCAACTAAACTTTTCATTTTGTGATACTATGTAAATATGGGGTAAATTATGAACTGTTACTTCTTTCACATGGTGAAACAAAGTATTCTGTTAAACCAAGCAACACCCAAGCCTTTTTCTTTTCCACTGTCTTTTGTACTCAGCGGTCAATAGAGTCGCTCTTCCTTCATGGACACTGTGTATTGGTACCTGCTATGGGTCAGCTTTTTGGGCTCTACAGAGAAACAGGGTATTTTTGTGCATCAGAAACTCTCAGAACAAGTGAAAGATGGATTTGGATGCCTCACGTCTAGCTTCCCCTGCATGTCTCTGGCCTTCCCAGGACCAGGTTCCTTTAGAGTGGCTGCATTTGTAGTCTCCACCTTTCAACAAGCCTTTCCTCAAACCACCTGCAGGTTTTTGACACTGTCCTCCTCCCCTACCCTCACCCCGCCGAACCACGCTAGGATCACAGTGACCTGTTTGACACTTACCTCACTGCACTCTCCTGCATTCACTTGACTGTTATCCAGCTGTCTTCAGAAGATTTCTCTGTTGTTGTCTTCCTTAATACCAGACCATCCGTCCTGTTTTTCCTTTGACATTTCTGAACTTTCTGTAACTATCATTTGATAGTGGTTATTTTTTGTTTTCCATCCATTTCTAACATATTTCTGTGGTTTTTCTTTCTGGGCATGTTCTTTTTCTAATGCTACAGATGGACCTAGGTCACTCCACTCCTGGTTTTTCACTTCTCCCAGCCTGTATCTTTCAAGGGCGTACAGCCCCTTGATAGCCCCAGAGGCACTTTAACTTCATCATGTCCAAAGAAAATTATCTTTTCCTTCAAGCCAGTTATTTCATACCAGAAATCTGGATTTTCTCTGACTGAACACTAATTAGATAGAATTCTTTCAATAACTCAGAGCTCAATTGTGAGAAAATACTGCTTTTGAAGAATAAGTGGACTAAAACAAAAAAAGCAAAAACAATAAAAATGATACAAGGGCATTCAGATACAATGTTTCTGGATAAAAATGTTTATGGCAGAACTCAGATGACTTTGACTTTTCAAAAGGAACAAAATGATAGGAATTAACAATGGCTGTTAAATTACATATTGTTATCTTTAACGAAGTTGCTCAGATTACCAGATGTAAGAATGCAAGATTGATCAAACCATTAAAGAGAATAAAAAATTTCAAAAAAATTTTAAAAAAAATTAGAAACGTTACAGTTTCACTAGACAAGATGGTAGGAATTCACCAATGCTTGTTGCATTTTGCTATTGTTCTTTTTTTTTTATTCTCTTTAAAATAAAATGTTTTTAAAAAATAGACTAAGTAAGACTCAGCTATATCTTTTAATATATTTTACTATTGATATCCAGTTTGATTTTACTCTGAACTAATACTGTGTTTGGAATTTACTGATGAAATGATTCTAAGTTTTTTTTTGCCCCTGCCAAACAGATCCTCCAAATGTACACATTATTGGAAATCTGCCTTTCAGTGTGTCAACTCCACTGATTATCAAATGGCTTGAAAACATTTCTAATAGAAATGGACCTTTTGTTTATGGCAGAACTCAGATGACTTTGACTTTTCAAAAGGAAGTGGCTGAGGTAAGCTTTAACTTCTGGTTATTTGATCACATGATCATATTCCCAAACAATACTGCATTTTCACGCCAACCATATGTTCTAATACATAATCCATTATATCCATTATAGACATATCCATTGTAGACAGACAGAGAAACCCAGCAACAGCTCAGCTAAAACTTAAGCATGTGATGACAGACGGCAGGACTGGAAGCTCCTAGGGAGCATGTGTGTGAGTGATATGTGTGAGCCAAGAAGGAGGTGCAGTAGGGACAAAGCAGCCATAGACATGATCAGAGAAAGGCGAAAGCTTTGTGTCAGCCATGCATCCATATGTGGGGTTCAGAGAGTGGCATCTTAAAACTGGTCCTTTGTGCCCAGTAGGATGATAAAAAATGTGATCATCAACTTGAAGCAAGAAAGGTCTTATTATCTAGTACTTATTATCTAGGACTTTGTCTTAGTCTTTATCTTGGTGATGCCTTCTGTGCCGCCCTCCCCGTGGCAGGTGCGTTCTGAGTCAGTCTCTAGGATGGAAACTTCTAAGCTGTTCACAGGCAGCTCTTGTGCTGCAGAGTGTCTTGGTTACTTTTCTCTCATCGCTGAGACAAAATACCTGACACCCAAAGTTAAAGGAGGAAAGATTTATTTTATTTAGCTCACAGTTTGTAGAGGTTTAAGTTCATAACCAGCTGGCTGCAAGGCAGGGTGGTGCATGGCAGGGGAGGCAACAGTTCATGGCAGCAGAAAGCAGTAAAAGCAGTAGGAGAGAAGGCAGGGACAAGCGTCTTTCTCTTCTTTATATTGTGTTCAGGCTACCCACCCTGTAGGGGGGTACAACACTCTCACCCTTAATCCCAGCATTGAACCTTGAATTAATAATAAACTCTAGATTTACGCACCTCCAAAAAAGCCTAAGACTGCACGAGGCTTTAGGGGTAGGTACATCTAGGCACAAACCATACCAGAGAGGAACTGTAAGCTCTAAGTCCACCTCACTCTGATTGCATATCCTGTCCACTCCCTATCACCCAGGTAATTAGTGCTGTGATTCCATAGTCTCTCATCACATGGAATTTATATTCACATAAAAGTGTACTTTAGTTTTATCTTTTTTTGAACTTTATATAAATGAACTCATAAAGAAATACACTCTTTTTATTTAGAACATCTTTTATAGGATTTGCTTATATTACTCATAACTACTTTATTTATGTAACATACATACCACCCACTGATTGGCTGTCATTTTTTTGTCCATTCTCCTATTTGAGGACCTAGAATTAGCTGTCATGAATGTTCTTATATTTATGTCAGCTGGGACACCTGGGCAAGATTTCTCTAGGGTATATGCATGGAAGTGGAACTGCAAACTCCTAACTCTTGCTAGATAGTGACAAATTGTTTTTGAGGTCATTCTGCGTACGTATATCCCTGCCAGCAGTGTACCTGATTTCATCTTGCTCCATATTCTTGCCAGTACTTGGTATTGCTGGCGTCGCATATTTTTATTAATCTAAGAGTAATGGTAAATCGTGTTGTATTTGATTGTGTTTCTGGTGGTTTCAGATGATACTGAGAACCATTTTATGTGTTTACAGCACTTTAGGTATGTGTGTGCACAGCTTGCATATCTTTCTGTTGGGCTACTTGTCTTTTCTTTTGGATTCAGAGTTCTCACATTCTCCATACTAGTCCTCATTATTTAGACAAGCTGCAGATTTCCTCTTCTGCTCTTTGACATGTTGTCATTTTCTTTTTACAATGGCTTTTAAAGATTAGACATTCTCATGAGTGAAGTCATTAGATAATGATTAGTGTTTTTCTGTGTCTTGTTAAAGAAATCCTTTTATATCTTGAGATCATGTAGATATACTTTTGTTATCTTCTAGAAGCTTTGTTTTACCTATCACATTTATATCTATAATCCTTATGAAAGGATTTTATGTATGTTTGAAGTAGAAATCATTTTTACAATTTTTAACATATGGATCCCAGTTAGTGCCATTGATTAATAAGTCTGGCCTTCACTGATCTCTGTCAACATCTCTGCAAAAACATTGCCTTGATTAGAAGAAAAGAATGTAAAATCCAGAGGGCCCAGTTTAGAACATAGAGGAGAGAATCCTCAGGAGGAGCATCTTAAAACTGTGTTCTAATACAGTTTTAATATAGGTGCTGTACAGAGGGCCCAGTTTAGAACACAGAGGAGAGAATCCTCAGGAGGAGCATCTTAAAACTGTGTTCTAATACATAATCAGATCAGATCAGAGCCAAGTAAGAAGGTGAGATAGATACCTATCATGGTTCATATATTGAAAGAATACAAGTCCAAGGGAGTTTAGGATTGAATTAGTTGTAAATAAATAAAAAACTAAAGACTGTATGTAGGGAATGAAACAAATACAGTGGTACCTTGGCTCAGGAACACCTTTGTGAGCAATTTGGTTCATAAACAGAAGCTTTGGCAAAGTTTTATTTTTGTTTGCAAACTCTACATCAGGGGACGAGCACAGCCATAGCTGTCCTTCTTGCATGAACATAAATGTGACCATCTTTTCCAGAATCATGGAGTGAATTAAGTTCATGAACCAAGGTACCACTGTGAAAGTTGTAATTATTTGGAGTAAAAAATACTATTTGCAGATACATAATTATTTTGAAAACCTAAGCATAAGACTTGTTTAAAAAAAAAACTACATTTTGGGTTATGAGTATGGTTTCTAGTTGTATCCATTTACCTATAAAAGCCTTGAGTCTATCCTTTTTTATAGCTGAGTAATACTCCATTGTATAAAAATACCACATCTTTTTTATCCATTCCATAATTGGTAGGCATTTGGGGTGTTTCCAAGATGTACATGCAACAGAACAACCATTGGTGAATTCCTCCCATCTTGTCTTGTGAAGCTCTATATCATTTTAATGGTTTTTTCCTTATTGTTCTTTATTCTTTTTAATGGTTTAATCAGTCTTGCATTCTTCTATCTGGCAATCTGAGCAACTTCATTGAAGATAACCATATGTAATATAACAACCACTGTTAATTCCTATCATTTTGTTTTGAAACCCTATATCATTTTATTGTTTTTGCTTTGTTTGTTTTTGTCTATATTGTTGTTATTTTGTGGTTTTTTTATTCCCTTTAAAATAAAAAGTTATACAACCTCACTGAAAACCACAATAGTTTATTGAGAGCAGTCATGAGAAATACCATAATCCTAAAAGGAAAAATGATGATTGTAAAGAAGCTGATTTTTTCAAACACATAGCTTTGTAATACATCTAATATAATTATAATCCTTAAAGAATTTCTCTTGAAGTATAGTATTATGTATTTGGGATCTTGGACATGCAAGAATATACGATATGTTGAAAAAGAAGAATGAGAGAGAACTTGCTTTGTTAACATATATAGTGAAACTTTAGTAATCAAAATAGTGTGACATGGCACAAGACAGGTTGATGGCCTGATGAGAAGGTCCAGGAGTAGACAGTTTGATATGTGATAATGATCAGATCATAAAGTATCAGTAAAGAAAGGAATTATTTAGTAATCTGTGGATATTTGGTTAGCCATTACAAAAAATATTTTAGTGGTTTACCTTACATAAAAGTTCCAGTTACCATGTCTTCAAAACCATGTAGGATCTGATATGCTGTTAGTTCTATGGAGTATATTTTTCACTTAAAATATTGTATTTTTACCTCCAAAAGTTCTATTTGGAACTTCTTTATATCTTCCTTTTGCTCGTTGTGTTCATGCTTTCCTTGCTATTTTTGTACCTGCCAGTATGTCTGATATGTGTAGCAGCTGTTTTGTGTGCTGCTGGCGATGGAACCCAGGTCCTATAGGTGCTGTGTAGTTGCTCTGTTACTGAATTATATCCCCTTTAATAGTTGTTTCAAGATCCTTGCCTAGCAATTTCATTGACTCTCTCATTTCTGTGCTTTTTCACTCATAGATTGTTTTTCATCCTTTTTATGATGCTATTTTTCTACTCTTTGCAAACTTGATAATTTCTGAAGAGAGACCAGATACTGTGAGCATTTTTTCTAATTTAATGTTTTTGAGGGCAGGGTTTTATGGTGTTGGGGTTTTTGTTTTTGTTTATTTGGGGCTCTTAGATAAGTGCAGGTTATGTGAGGCATGCTTTTAGAAATTGTCTGATGGAACCAGAGTAGACGTTAACTTGGGTTTGAGCCCCTTTAAGTCATGGCCTTTCTAAGAACTCTGCCCAATACACTTTGCATTTCAAGGCCTTTTGAGATTTGTCTCTAGCTGTTGGGAATGCAGCCTATTCTTTGCCCTGTGTAAGCTTCTTCCCCACTTCTCTTTTGCCAACCTCCCAGGCCTCAGGGAGTTGTACCTCAGAGCTGCTTAAGTCAGGGTCACAGAGTTCAGCCCTTAGATTTGGCTCACACCTTTCCCTCTCTTTTTTCCACCGTCCCTTTCTGAGCATTGCAAGTATGTGTATGTGTGTGTCCGTGCTTGTTGTACATGCCACTGTGTGAGAAAGAGAATGATGTCTTCCTGCCTTGGCCTCCCCAGTCTCCAGCCCCTGTCTCCCCCAGTGAAAGGTCTCTGGGGCCCTTTATACCCCTGCCTGCATATGCTACGGCAGTCTGGGCTCACCTCCTTTTCCTTCTATGAGATCACAGATCTGCGCTGTCTGTTGTCTGGTTTGTAAAAATGATATTTCTTACACATTGTTCAGCTTTATAGTTGTTTCAGAATGAAACTTTTTTTAATAATTAAGATTCCTTTGAGAGTAGATTATAACTCAAGAATCAATGAATGGGATTTTGTCAAATTAAAAAGCTTCTGTACAGCAAAGGAAACAACCAGTAGAGTGAAGAGACAATTACAGAATGGAAAAAAAAATTGCCATTCTCAAAGAACTCAGAGGACTAAAATCTAAAGTATATAGAGAACTCAAAAATCAAAAATAGATGACTCAAAAAAATTAAATCACCCAAAATAAAAGACCCAATCAAAAAATGGACAATTAAAGTGAGCA